CCGGTCTATAGTTACCTGGGTCCTCCTTCTTGCCCTTTTTGAAGACTGGAGTGACATTCGCTTTCCTCCAGTCCTCAGGCACCTCTCCCGTTTCCCAAGACTTGGTAAAGATGATGGCGAGTGGTCTAGCAATGACTTCCGCCAGTTCCCTCAGCACCCTCGGGTGCATCCTATCTGGACCCATGGATTTATGGATGTCCAGATTGCTCAACTGGTCTCTAACCCATTCCTCATCGACTAAGGCAAACCGTTCCGTCGACCTGACTTCATCTAAGGTCTCTGGGGTACAGGGCTCTTCAGGACTGCCTGCAGCAGAGTAGACAGAGACAAAGAAGGCATTCAGTAACTCTGCCATCTCTGCATCTTCTGTCACCAGGGCACCCATCCCGTTCATCAGTGGGCCTACATTGCCTCTGGTGTTAGTTTTGTCTGCCATGTACTTGAAAAAGCTCTTTTTGCTGTCCTTGACCCTTCTTGCCAGGTTTAATTCTAAGGATGCCTTAGTCCTCCTAGCTGCCTTCCTACATCCCCTAGCAGCAGCCTTATATTCCTCCCAAGTGGCCAGCACCTCCTTCCATGACCTATAAACTCTCCTCTTCCACTTGAGCATACCCAGCAATTCCCTATTTAGCCACGCAGGTCTCTTGGCCCTCTTCCTTGACTTCCTACGTGTCGGGATGCTCCGATCTTGAGCACGGAAAAAGCAGTCCTTGAATATCAACCAACTATCTTGGGCCCCTTTTCCTTCAAGCAGCCTTGCCCATGGGATTTCCCCTAGCAATTGCTTGAAAAGGCCAAAGTTTGCCCTGCTAAAGTCCAGGGTTGCAATTCTACTTGGTATTCTACTAGTCCTACCACACAAGATCCTGAACTTCACCATCTCGTGGTCGCTGCAACCAAGGCAGCCCTCAACCGTTACTGCTTCAACCAGATCCTCCTTGTTAGTGAGGATGAGATCCAGCAGCGCTCCTCTCCTGGTTGGCTCATCCACCATTTGCAGGAGGAAGTTATCATCCATACACTGGAGGAACCTCCTGGACTGTGGCTGGGTTGCCGAGTGGTCCTTCCAGCAAACATCAGGGAAGTTAAAATCCCCCACGACGACCACGGCCTGTGACTGTGAGGCCGCTCTCAGCTGCCTGTAGAAGGCCTCGTCAACTTCCTCACCCTGATCCGGGGGTCTGTAACAGACACCTACAACAGTATCGCCCCTGCCAGCCTGCCCCTTAATTCTCACCCACAGACTCTCAACTCGCTCATCATCTGTCCCCGGACAGAACTCGGTGCATTGTAGTTCCTCCCGCACATAAAGAGCAACCCCACCACCCCTCCTGGCTGGCCTGTCTTTCCTGAAAAGGACATAGCCCTCCATGACTATATTCCAGTCATGTGAGCTGTCCCACCACGTCTCTGTAATTGCCACCAGATCATAGTCTCCTGACTTAACACAGGTTTCTAACTCCTCCTGTTTATTTCCCATGCTGCACGCATTGGTGTACAGACATTTCAGGGAGCGAGCTGAGCACACCGATTTCACCCTAGGATTATAGGAGGCCTCCCAGTCTTCATTAATTCTGGAGCGCTGCCCCACTGGGGCAAGCCCAGCTACAACCCCATCCCCCTTCGAATCTAGTTTAAAGCTCTCCAAATGAGCCCTGCTAATTCGTGCCCCAGCATCCTTTTGCTTCTGTGAGACAAACCTTTCTCACTTGACATTGTCCAGACTGGTGCCCTATAAAACCAGCCATTATCAAAGAATCCAAAGCCCTGCCTGTAGCACCAGTCTCGTAGCCAATTGTTCATGAACTGAATCTTCCCATTCCTTCCCACATCATGCTCCTTTTGATGCAGCCCAGGATACAGTTGGCTTTCTGGGCTGTGAGAGCACACTGAAGCCGGCTCATGTTCATTTTCTCATCAACCAACACCCCCAAGTCCTTCTCTACAGGGCTGCTCTGAATCTCTCCTCTGCCCAGCCTGTAGCTGTGCCTGGGATTGCTCCGACCCGTGTTAAACTTAATGGCCTAGTCATTAGTAAGCCTCCAATATCATCAGCCATGATGATTTAACTTGCAGCATCCAGAGTTTGTCTTTAACAGACAAACTTAAAGACAAACAGTTTATCTTTCGTTCTGGCTCTTTACCTTCGGTATATTTCATTCACAATGACATCTTACAGTTTTCTGTCAAGCTTAGCAGGCATTCAGGGGATTTCATTTTATAGTTTCAGAAATACATTGGAAGGAGTCCTCAGCTCATTGCTATGTTAAAAAAAAATTATATCTGAATCCAGATAACTTAAAAATCTTAAAGGAAGTTAGATTATTGAAAGTGACTTGAGGTTAAACTTTAAAGTTTCCTAGTGCAGTAATGCCAGTAGGCTTGTATGTCAGTGGGTACTAAGTGCCTAGCAACAGGGTGCTAGAAGCTTTTATAATCAGGCTACTTTTATTATTTCATAAAATTTCAGCCAAGAGACAAGCTCTGCTTATTTTCTGAGGCAGAGCTGTGGCAAACTGAGGCACTGACCCTACAAGCCCTTATGCACATTACAGGGGATCTAGTAGGGGTTCCCTTAGTCACAGAGATGTTTGCATAATCAGGGTCCTAGTTTTAGGCTACCCCTGATCTGTAAAGTAGTCATGACCTCTTGGGAAGAGCTGTCTTGCTAGCATCAGATGTCATTCATCAGATGTCTGGCATTGTCCCTGTCACTTACTCACAGACACACCTCTCTAAACCTCCAAGGTTTTACATGTATTATGTATTTTCTCTCTATAACAGAGTACATAAAGGTGAAACCTATGTGGTGCTTCCCTTTCTTTAAATAAAAATCCAGTGAAGTAATGGTGTTAAAGACCGTCAAGTATGTCTACTGCTGTAGCTCCACTGGAAATACAAGCCAGCTGTATGTAAACATGAGTTATTTGCCTGGCAGTTCCAGTCATACATTTTGATGCACCAGCTACAAACAGAAAGCAAGCAGTGGAAGAAAACTTACTTATCCCATTCCAAAGAATCACTTATTAAGCTGTTTCTGTTGACCGACAGTGAAATACCTGGAGACAATAAATAGTCCTGCTGCCCCAATCAAGTGAATTACTGTAGCTGTGATTGTAGCTGTCACTGACTCATCAGTTGCAGCATAGCCAGAGCCGGCCTCTTGGGTTTCCCTCCTGTCCTCCCAAAACTACACGCTAGTATTGTTCCCCTAAATAGATCACATTTTTAGGGATCTATTTTTATCCCTCATGTAGGATGCTATGAAGTGATGAGAACGTGAAGCTGGCCTTTCTGTGAACACTCATTGTAGTAGGGTCAATAGGGCATACTCAAGGTTAATACCCCTTTTAAGTTTAATTTCTCAAATCTGCACAAATGTGATGACATGAAAAGTAAACCAGCTTGCTGTGTGCATGCTCCTGGGTGTAGGTAATAAAAAAAATAAACAAAATAGAGCCTCTGAAACAACAAAGGCATCAATAGCCTACACAGCCCTGCTTTACCAATTTAAATCTCAGTCCCAATACCCATGTTTCCTCTTCACTGCAGAGCTGTTTTGGAATAAATCAACTATCTGCTCCTCAGTATGGGTCACAGACAAAGTTTTTGATAAACACTAGAACATGAACACACACTCGTGTGTCACATCAAGACCAGTGGGCAACTGCAAATGCACCATCACAACATATCAGCTTGTCATGTCTCACTGCAGGCATGAGGTCAGAAATAGAATCCACCAAAGGATGGTCAGCGCAGGCAAAGTGATTCACAGGCTAATGAATTTCTAACCAAAAAACTGTACCAATGCCCCACATTACAGGAGCCATGAGTTTCATTAAAAAAAAAAAAAATTACCTTTCAAGACGTATAATTATAAATTTTCTATCTTTCAAGACTTACAAAATCTGCCCCCCCCCCCCATTCCGTTCCTCACAGTGGCATGACACTTTGTGTGTACTACAGTATTTATTTCTGTAAAATTCGTCAGAAAGAAGGAAAGTATTACAGCTGGAAAACTGAACGGTCAAGTCATTAACTACTGTGCTCCAGGTCATGCAGGAAATTTGAAATAGAAACAAGAATTCAGCATAACAGAACCAGTTCGCTGCTCTGTGGAGAAGAATAAATCTTTCTGCCCTGAATGCTCAAGACAAAGACTTTGAAGATAGTGGGGCAAGAGAGGCAAGCAGAGAGCCAAGAGAGGGTTGCACTGCCCGATGGGTTGGCAGTGGGAAGAGGCAAGGGTTGTCCTGTTCACAGGCCAGAGATACACTTTCAACACTGCTCCATCTGCCCCAGCAGTCGTTTCAGATCAGCCTTGGCCCCTTAAAAACTGCAGCAGGGGCTGTTACATACCTACCTGAGGCTCATAAGCAGGTCTACAGAGATGGGAATGTAGATGACACATTTCTCCCTAGCCCCTCCAGAAGTGGTGTGTGAGCCCACCAGCAGTTGGAGAGTGCCATGTATCAGGGCAGGAGACCTTTGCATGCCTGGTTAGCCTCCCACAGCAGTGAGCTTTTCCCAGAGGTGCTGGCAGTGCTGCCCAAAGCAGGGCATATGTGAACAAGCGCAGTGGCCATATGAGCCCCAATACAAATTCCAGGGATCCATAACTACCACACCAGTGGGAAATGAAAGCTACCTGCAACCGAGCAAGCACATGACACCCCCTCCCCACGACATGACAGCTCAGTGGTCCTGGAGATAATTCTACCAGCACTAGTAAGGCCATTTGTTTTGATGTTGCAAGTGGGTGATGCGCCAACACTACATGGGATACGGGACTGCTGCAGAGCACCAAAGCAAACATTAACAACAAACAGCTTTATTTTCAAATCCAGCTATCAGCCATTATAAGACTTCCCCTTCCCAAATCAAAATAAAGAGCTGAAGGCAAACCCATTAATTGACTTGGAGGGGGGGGGTGCACTTGCATGTCTGTAGGAGACAGTCATTTAGCTCCTCTAGTAACCACGGAGCTACAGGTGCTTCCGAGCATTGCTCTCCTCCTCCATGCCACAGCCAGTCCAGCCTCACAAGGTGTGCAAACTGGCTGCTCAGGTATAGCTGCTGCCCAGGAGTACCACACAGATTTCTTTACACATTCCTGTATGTGGGCTGTATATTACAGCCCACCAGGTGAGTGCTCTGTAGCTGGGCTCCCCCAGTTCTGTTTCAGCTCCTTCCACTTCCACCTCCATTTGACCCTCAGCACCGGAGTCAGTGGAGGCCATGGAGAGCAGGAAAAGAGAGGGAAGGGGTGCTTATTTTCAGGGCAAAGATGCTCCCACACTGATTTGGGGGTTCACATCTGGTTGCCCACCAGGACAGCAGAGCTTTGCCTGCCTTTCCCCTCCCTGCAGGGGTGTGGCAGTACCATTGCTATAGGGGGGTGCAGTGTCCCAGTCTCCCACACTGGTACATGACCATCAATGGGACATCACTGGGAAATGTAGCAAGCCAGGGAGGTTGAAAGCAGACCTTTCCTTCTCAGCAGTCCCTTCTAACTACTCAGGCTTTCTTGCTAGCTCTCTTGACTGTGTGTGGGGCACATCATCAGGTGTATCAAAGCCCTCTCTGCAAACATCCATGTAAACCAGCCTCTTATCATATCATAGAATGGTTTGGGTTGGAAGGGACCTTAATGACCCCCCTGCCATGGGCAGGGACACCTTCCACTAGACCAGGTTGCTCAAAACCCTGGCCTTGAACACTGCCAGGGATGGAGTAGCCACAAATTCTCTGAATAGAAAATTGCCCCACCTTGAATCTTAACCTTGGTTGGCACTGAAAGAAAGGCTCAGAGGTGTCTTTTATTCCCCTTACTCAAACACAGAGGGACTCTCCTTTCGGCACCCAGAAGATGCTGTGGTAAGGGAGCCTGGTATGAAGGTGGTGTTATATGACTGCTAGACATTACAAAGCACAGCTGGGAAAAACAAATCAACCCTTCTCACGGGCTGTTTGTGTTATATTTGACTTGCTCTGCCAGTCCAGATTGTGTCCCTGCCAAGTGCCAGGAAAGAAATAAAGAGCAGGGTGGGAGGTGGGCAGCTCTGTGAGTGCATTGTAGGCCTGCCACCGCTGGTAAGCTCGCCCCTCTCCCCCACTGGCCAGGGACATGCCTCTTCACACACACAATGGGGAGGTCTTGTTTGGTTTTGAATATTGCCTGCGTATGAATATTCACTGTGGACCACAGCAAGAGTAATCACAGCTGACCCATGTTGTTACTAATTAATTCTTTTGCTTACACACGGGGGAACAGGAGGAAGAAAGCAAATACTGTGAACAAAGCTAATAATGCGGTTACTTGCTACTCCTGCTATCTGACACGTTTTTAAGGCACAGTCTCTATGGAATGACAGTGAACACAGGGAGAAATTGATGTAGTGTAACAGAAAAGCATGTTTCTTTATGAAATACTGTTCAGGCAACACAGGAATGGTTTGTCTTGCTCTAACTTTTACAGGCCTTTCTGAGTAATCTCTGCTGTTGCTTGAACCGGTTTTACATCTCTGCAGGTGTCGGAGATCACAGGTGAAGTTTTGTTCTCTTCCCCTGCTCTGACAAAACACAATCTCCTGAAACACTTTATATGATAGAAAATAATCCTGTTAGACTCTCTACACAGTACAGAAGGGGTAGCTGATGTGGGGCACAGGGAGGTTTGTTTTTCCTGCATCAAGGTGGAAGATAGGTAGCTGTAGAGCTGATATACCTGGAAATCTGATGTTTGAAAGACATATTTACTGTCTCCAATAAATACCACTGTTATCTTCAGTTTTAAAGGCTTGTTGTATCATCTGGCAAATGTAGGCCTATTCATGTGCATATTAGGCCTGTTATATATTATATGAGTTCTTTGAAAGAGAAAACTTATTCCCATAATATTTCTTCCATAAATATTGACACATGCAAAAAGCTCTCCTTCTCAAACTTACATGGGCTGTTACCCATGACATATAGTGATCTGCTGGCGTAATAATAAAATTAACCTGGCCATATAATGAACCAGCAGGTGCAGTGGTTTTGCACAGGTCTCCATTCAGTGCCCCACAGTCCTTCCTGAGTGAATGGTGGCCAAAAAAGGGGGAAAAGCTGGGAAAACCCCTGCTGGTGGCCCTGGTGACTCAGCTGCTGTAGTCAGAATCCCCCAGTACAGCAAACTTCTATCTACACCTGGCTGGGTTTTCCCCTGATGGAGAGTTTTGGCTTTATTCTGGTTAATTCTCAAACAGTGCTGTTTGGTTCAGTGCTTTTTTTAATGTCAAACAGACTTGGAGGAACCAAATCTGCCCTTCTCTGTTAGCCTGGTTTGAACTTACTGCTTGCTCTGTGCCTCACACATCTGCTGTCTCGGCTGACCACCGCTCTTACTCGCTGGTAGCTTCACGTGGCTCCTGACAGGTGCTGACGACCTCGCACAGGTGAGCTGCACTCGCCGTAGGGAGGGAAGGGAAACGGAGGGAGGAAGCCGGGGTTCAGCCGGCGGGGCCCGGCAGCCATCGTTAACCCTCAGCTGCGCGGGGGCAGCAGAGAGGTTGATTTTGGCGGGGGGAGCGGCGGGCCTGCTCTGCCCGCTGCCGCCCGGATGGTGGCGCTGCGGCACCGCCTCAGGCTCCCGCGCGGTCGCTCCGGCGCTCGAGTCCAGCTCAGGGGGACTGGGGCTCCTTGTCCCGTCGGCTTCTCGGCTGTCCCCCGCCAAGAACTCCCCATCTGCCCTCAGGGTGCGGCCGTCGAGGGGAGCCGCTGAAGGGGAGAGGCATTGAGGGAGCAGCCGTTGTTGCGGGGTCGATGCATTCAGGCGGTTCGCGTGGAGCCGTGCGCGGCCACGGTGGTCCCGTGGCGGCCGGGGGAGCCCCATTTCCCGGGAGACGGGTCGGGCCGCGCCGCTATGCCGCCGGGATAATGGCGGGGGCCAGCGCCGTGTCACCTCTTGTGTGCACTTTCCAAAGAGGAGCCCGGGCGTGGCGAATGGGACACAGACCGCCATTGTGCCGGCGACACTTTAATCGCCGACACCTACAATATTCAACCTGTTGCCGGCAGAGGGGCAGCCCCGGGGCGCACACCCCACCCGAGGGGCTCGGGGAAAGGGGGAGAACGGGGACGGGCCGGTGGGCTTCACCACTGTCTCACCAGGGCAGGGGGCTGGGGGCGCATCTGATGGTGCACGTCCTGGGCGCTGCAAACCTCCAGGCCCGTTGAAGCGGGTGCCCTGACCAAGGCAGACCTGTCTTGCTGTGAAAGAGATTCATGTTTGCCCATGCCGCAGCCTGCAGCAGGCATGGAGGGACCACCGGAGACACCAGGATCTTGTTTAGCAAAGCAGCTCTTGCTGGATGTTGCTTGCATGCTGCCTTCGAGGCAAGACGTGGTCTCCTCATGCTCTCACTGGGATGCAAATGCACACAGGTCTGCCTCAAAACTAATGTCTAGTGGCATGGATGCAGCAGCTGTGCTGAAGCAAGAGGTGGGGTTTTGTGCTCGTAAATGAGGGAGGTGGGATGGTGACTGCTTCTGCCATTCCTCCTGCCAAAGCCGAGTGCTTGGGTGCTGAAACGGAACACTTGTGCAACGCACACAAGGGATGTCACATGCACTGTGAGAGCTGTACAGTCAGGTTAGTGAAAACGGGGGTTCCTGGCCTCTGCAGGCCCTCAGCTGTCTCTAATCTCGCTTCCTGCCTTAGCGTATCCCTTGCACACTGAAGGTGAACATTAGGCTTCACCCTGTGGAAATTCCTAAAACTTTCATGGAGCTCAAGACAATCTGCTTGCACAGTAAATAGAAATGCTTAGTCTATAGCAAGTCTCTCTCCAGCTCCGGAGCAATCACATCCTGCAGCTTGGGGGTATGCCAGGGGTACAGATCGTGCCACAGGCAGGGTTTAGCAAGTCTGCTGCTGCAGAGGGCTGCTTCCAAAGAGTTACAGCACTGCAACTGAGCACCCGTTGCCTCTGAACACAGCCAAAGAGGACACCTGTAGCAGGCACTACAAACAAAACAAAGGAGAAAAGGAATTACTCGGGTTCTACTTTCTTAACAAGTTTTCAGAATTTCTTAAAACATCCTAATTTACAAGGTAGCAGGCCAGATGAAGATGTCCTCGGAGGGGTTTGCTTTTCACAGCCTTTCACAGGCACAGTTCCTGAAAGTTCAATTGGTTCTGTGTTGTGCTGGAAATTGAGTGTTCCTAGAAGTCCTTGTGCTCTTTACCATCAGGGATTAAATAGAAGGATTTCCTGTGCATGGCAAGGTAGTATATTTTTTCTTGGCTGACAGGCGTTTCTTCCGTGGGGAAGTACTGCCCGCTCTGGGGATTGGATGGCAGGTGCACATCAGCACCAGGCTGGGTCCATTCACTTGTGTTTCTCCCCTTAGGACCGCTGTTCTCTGCATTGTTTTGGCTTCTGCAACTGTAAATATTTACTCTTTGCACTGTAGAGGCCATCTCTCCTCAGGAGACCAGCAAAGGTTCAAATTCCAGGCTGGCATTTCCACTGCTAAGAAACCTTCAGGGCTGCCTGATTGCCAAGAGGTTTGTAGGTTATGGATGTAAGAACACGATGTTAAACGCCCAGTACAATTGAAGCACCCCCCCATGCTCCCAGGTTACTGCTCTAGTAGTGCTGTTGTTGAGAGTCAATGCAGACAGTTTAAAATGTCAGATTTTTTCCTGTTTTCCTCTTGCTTACTTGTCAGCTGTTGGTTTTTTCCCACTTGTCCACTGAAATATGTTACTACTGTGCCACAAAGAGTCTGCAACCTAATCTTTTAGTTTATACTTTATGACTAGAAAAGACAAAATCTAGTACCAGCAATTCTACATGCTTAGAAATCTGGAGTACTTACACTCCCCGAGATCTTGAGCAAGAGACGTTGGGAACAAGTGGAGGTGACCATATATGATTTGAAGGGAATGTATTGTCTTAGTGGATGGATGGATGGATGGATGGATGGATGGATGGATGGATGGATGGATGATCAATTCTCCGATGTTAAACCAGATGAAGTGTTGCTCTTGTGCTGTAAAACTGTTGATGGCACTGGTCATTTTCTTGGTTAAGTGATTTGTATCAGTAAAATGTATTAAGCAACAGCCTAATGAAAGCATGCTGGTCAACTCTTGGTTTTAAAGCACCTTTTAAGGAGGGACAGTAGTGTTCTGTTGTTGCTCATTTAAAGAGTTGCTCATTTAACATCGCTATTAGAAGACAATAGTGGCTGGCGGATACAGAAGGTATAAAGCCTCTGACACAGGTCCCTTGGGTCTGATACCAGTGTTTCCATTGCATTAAAGTAGTTCTGAACTGCAAGCAAAAGCTTCCAATTCTGTGCAGGGTATAATTATTTTTAAGTCATTAACTAGTTCTTCTTTCCCCAAGAGCTTAGCTCTGGGGTATACTTGGTAATGCAGATCCTAAAAGCTGCCTGCCTAAGCCGTTTCCAGCTCTTGTGGTTACAGTTTCTGTCAGAAGCAGTAGCCAAGCAAATGCAAACCTCTGTGCCCCTGCGATCAGAGCTCCCAAGTTCAGTACAGGACGAAACTGTTTGCTGCCTGCCAAAGCATGCTCTGTGATTGCCTGGGACCAGGGCAGTGCTTACCAGACCATGGTGACAGCCCAGCAAACCCCTGCGTGGTGGTTTTGGTGGTTTGCATTTGGTTTTCTGGAGGCCTGTTGTTGCAAGTGTCCTGCAGCTGAGTAGTGTCTCAGCTTGCCAGAGCTCTGTGGGACTGAGGTATTTGGCAATTTTAGTAGAAACTCCTTTCCAAGCTGAGTGGAAAAGCAAGAAAGTGCTTAAAATAAAGTGACTAAATGATATTGTTATTAGTGATGCTTCCTTGAATATGAAGGGTCTTATTTTTCCATTATGAGCATAAATTCAATTCTCAGAAACAGTTTCAGCCATTTAAATAAAAGGGCAAAGTGTATGTAGGTATAAATTCCATAGATAAGATTTCCAAATATATTACAAAACTGAATTAATTATGCCTTACAATGACCCCAGGAGGTGGGCAAGTATTGTTACAGGAGTGCTTTGCCTTTCTCTTGGAGGCAGTGGGAGTACTTGTGCTAGAATTAACTGTACAGAGCAGAAAGTGTCTGCTGGGTTAGCCTCAGTGTGCAGGTCTGTGCTGGGTCTTCATGCGGCTAACCATCGCCAGGAAATGGGAGTTGGTTGTATAGACCCTCAAAAAGTCAAAGTGAGTGACGTTGGGTAGTCGGAATGATGTGCCCAGGAACATTGCTCTGCAGAAATGGGGGCACATCTGCTTCAGCAGCATGGTGGTCCTGGTTATTCATGGGTGGAAAGGGGGCAGGTTTCACTAATGCTCGAGTCCATTGTGATGTTCCAAGTACCTGGGCTTTTGCATTCCTTGTGGTTGGCACTTCTCACGTGTATTTAGAACATACTTGACAGTAAAGCATCAGGCACTGAGCACAGAAGGAGTCTTAAGAAAGACTTGCTGCTGGACCCTCCTCTGCTTTAACCTCACCTGCTCTAAATAATGTAAATATGAATACTTTATTTGGGTGAATATTCTGATGGTGCGGTTGATGACACTGAAAACTATTAGGCTGTGCATGGGTCTGTATGTGTCTGTGATAGCTCACTGTTGTAGCTTTTAGATGGGGTGATGGGGTTTGTCATCCAGGGTGTAGGTCAGTTATGAGGTAGGCAGGAATGGACCTTCCCTCCTCTTGCTGGAGGCCTGGGCAGGTGGTGGTTGAGATTCAGTGAGGATTACCTGACCTCGGTGAGTGACACAAGTTTGTCTACTTGTGCATTTAACTGCCTGAAGACCAGATCAAAGGCCAGGGGAGGCAAGGAGCGGGTTCCCCGCTTTTCAAAATGAAGGGAGGAAATGAGAGAACAAGTGGAGAAAGTGGGGCAAAGGAAGAGGGAGAATAAAACACTTCCTAAGGGGTAATGGTGCCGACAGAGCAGCCTGCTGATCTCTAAATGGGATTGAATGAGCAATTAGATTGTTGAGCACAATTAAGCTGAGGGCTGACCCGTGTGCTTTGTGTGCTTTGAAAATGTCTCTGGCCATAATGATAGAGGAGGCTTTTTGCAGGTCTGTTCTCCCCCCACACCTTTTGTAACCCATCTTTCTGTAACACTAATATGTGCCTGACCCCGAGCTGTTGCCTCAGCCCTTAACCAGACTAAGGGGGGAGCAGGGGAAAATCTGCATAAAGATATGGGGATAAGTTCAGTTTGTTTTCCTCTGAAAGCTTTGACACTTTCTTAGAGAAAGCAGATTCATTTTCAAGGCTTTCTACATTCCTGCTATTGTACAGTAAGTGTTTCAGGCCGGTGTGCTTGTGTTTCCGACTCCCGTGAAGTTCCCTTTGCGGCAGGGCGTGCCTCGAACCTCTTCAAAAGAACCAACTTCTACAAAAGAAAAAAAGAAACTCAAGTAGGCTTGAACATACAAAGAGAGGGAGAAAGGGAAGAGAAAAGGGCCGGGCAGTGCTGAATACAAAATGAGTTCAGCCAGCCCCAGGAGTTCTTCATCACTTACATTTATCTTATTCTGGGAGAGCAGAGCTAAACCCAGCACTAACATAAACTACCCCTTGCCTTTGACTCCGAGTTCGTGTGCACATACAGCACATATGGGTGTACACAGGGCAAGGGGGGTCAATGAAATATATTTTTCCCCCTCTGAGTAGTGATGTTGGTGGGGAAAATGGTTTTCTGTGTATGCCTTTTCAAAGGCAAACTATCAAGCGAGCCTTGGATGCCTCCAGTTTCAAAGCATGTGCTCACAGAACACACACTTGGAAAATAAGCAGCCAGTAGTGTTTCTCAACTGGGCTGAGGAGCATGCCAGGGTACAGGCTGAGCTTCCCCTGTGCTCCATAAAATCACTACGTTCCTGTTAAGGGAAGCCTCCAGCACCTGCTGTGAGTGGATCTACCCAGAGATCAGGGCGCCTCCTGGGCACCAGTTGCCCCACATCCACAGGGGATGCTAATGGGATGCCGCTCTCCTCCTCCCTGCCCGGGGTTTTGGCCAGGTAGCCCTGGAAAGCGGGTGGCTTGTAAGCTGGAGGACTGGGTCTGTGTCAGCCTCATAATCAGGAGCAAGGCATTCGAGGCTTCAGCACCGCTGTCCCTATGCCTCAAGCTCACTAAGCTTCTGAGAGTGTGTGGCAGCAGCTGCTACTTGGCAAAGCTCCCACTCAGCTCCAAGCATTGTCCCGTGGTCCTTGCATCGAGTGGGTCAAAGCTGCAGTGCCCAGCACTGGGAAGAGGGATGAGGCAAGTACAGCAGACTCCTCACAAAGCAAGCCTGGATCACCAGGACCCAGTCAGGGAATGTGCAGTGCCTGGGGACAGAAAGACAAGTCGAAGGGTTAGGTATTTAGCTAGCAAACAGAACCGTTCAGCACGGTTGAAAGAGGATTTCTTATTTTATTTAAATTATCAAAGCATCTCTGTGTGTGCAGTACTAGGAGCTTATAAAAGTTGCTGCTGGATATGAACAGACGGCCTGCCAATGTCACAGATAATACACGGAAACAAGGCATAAACTCCTGCTGCTGCTTATCTTTCTTGCTAAGTAAAAGTTTTCATTTTGATCAGAATTTGACAACTTTTTTTTTGCGGTGGGGGGGTCCAGCAGCATAATTGCAAGCAGAAAAGAACAGCGAAGGCTCGCTTCGGTTTCCCTTCATAGAAAGCGGACCCCGAGCACCCCGTTTGCGCGGTCGAACACATCCAGCTGTTGGTGGAAGGTGGGTCCCAGCCTCGGAGGCGCTCAGAGCGGCGCAGCCAGCTCCGCACACTCACGAGGTTGCTCATTTTATGTCACGGCCGCACGGCCCTGAGCTGCTGCGCTCCCTCCTCGGCTTGCCAGTTACTCACGTTTGAAAAAACGTATCTACCTCATACTGTGCCCATCACTTTGTTCTCAATATGCCTATTCACACGGTAAATCTCCGCTCTTCCCCGAGAGCGGGCGGCGGCGGGGAGGCTGCGCGGAAGAGGAGTTAAGATGCGTACCCGGAGTTGCTTCCCTCTCCGCCACCTTTGGGGAGCCATTGTCGGCCGAACAAAAGAACTTGCTTGCGGGGAGACCGGGACCCCCCGAAACCGGGGCAGCTCCCGGTGCGGTGCAAATGTGCTGTCCCGGCTGCGGATCCCGGCTGCTCGTCTGTCCCCGGTGAACCGCTTACTCTGACCGAGGGTGCACACGTGTTCGCGCCGTACATAACCCCCCGCGAAGCGGCGCAGCGTGCCGCCCGGGGAACGGGCTGCCTGGGCACCCCGCGGCAGCGGCCCGGACAGCGCTGCGCTCCACCAACTCGGGAAAAGCCGCGGCTGCCGGGGCGAGTCGGGACACCCGGCTACCCCGGACGCGCCCGGAGGGAGGGCATTCACCGGAGCCCTCGGGCGGGGAGGGACGCTGGTGCCCATCTTGCCCGGCGCGACGGAGCGTCCTCGGCGGTGGCAGTGCGGGGAGGACGCGCTGCCACCAGCACCGGTTTCCGCTGCCCGGTGCGGGACGCATCGCTGCCAGTGCGCTTCGGGACACACACACACACACACACACGCACGCACACACATGCACGCACGCACGCGCGCACACGCACCCCCTTCCCCGAACGCTGTTGCGTGCGGGGCGTCCGCCAGGCTCGCGCCTGCCCGGGCGGGGCGAGACCGCGCGTGCCGCCGGCCGAGGCTCACCCCGGTCGCCATCCCCACACCCCCCCCTCCATCCCCAACCTCCGCTCTCCCGCCCCGCGCGCCATTGGCTCACCGCACGCGCCGGCCCCCGCGCGCGCGCCATTGGCCGCGCCGACACGCGACCGGCGCGAGTGGAGGGCGGGCTGCGGGAGGGGTGGGGCGCGAGGGAGGAGAAAGAGGGGGGTGAGGGGGGAACGCGGGGGGGGGACCCCGGCGCGTGCCGCTCCTTAAAGGGGGGCGCGGCGCCCGGCCGACACCGGAGACGTCGGGGCGCCACGCGCGAGGCGGCCTGCCACGCCGCGAGCCGCCCCCGCTACACCCCCCCCCCCTCTCCCGCCCCGCATGTGCGCGCGGCGCCCGCGCTGAGAGCCATGAGCCTGCCGCGGGGCGCGTGGGCCGAGGACGCGCGGGAGCGCGGGGCGCCAGAGCCGGCGTCGGTGCCGGAGCCCGGCGGGTGCGGGTTCGGCGCGGGCTGGCTGGGCGTGTGCTGCGCCGCGCGCCTGCCCGCCGCCTCGCCGCGCTACCTGATGCCCTCCGCCGAGGAGGAGGAGGAGGACGCGGCCGAGCTGGTGGGCGGCGCGGCGCGGGGCGGCGGGAGCAGCCCCGGCGTGGCGCGCGGGGCAGCGGCGGCAGTGGGTGGCGGGCGGCCGCGGGGCGGCGGCGGCCCCGGTCTGCGGGCGCAGGTGAGCGGCGTGCAGAAGCAGCGGCGGCTGGCGGCCAACGCGCGGGAGCGGCGGCGGATGCACGGGCTGAACCACGCCTTCGACCAGCTGCGCAATGTCATCCCCTCCTTCAACAACGACAAGAAGCTCTCCAAGTACGAGACGCTGCAGATGGCGCAGATCTACATCAGCGCCCTAGCCGAGCTGCTGCACAGCCCCGCAGGCACCCCTGACACCCCCGGCAAACCCGAGCACCGCGGGGCTCCCTTCGAGCCGCCCTGCGCTGCCGGGGCCGGGCCGCCGCCGGCACAGCCGCCGGGGCCCCCCAGAGCCTCGCCTCCCGGTCACGGCAGGACTCGCTTTCCCCCTCCGCCGTCAGCGGGTGGGTACTCGGTGCAGCTCGACCCGCTGCACTTCCCCTCCTTTAGCGAGGGCGCCCTGCTGGGACAGAGAGCCCCTTCCCCCGCCCTCCTCATGCCTCAACCCGGGCAGCCGCCGCAGGAGAGGAGCAAAACGTCGCCCCGGTCCCACAGGAGCGACGGGGAGTTCTCCCCCCGCTCCCACTACAGCGACTCGGACGAGGCCAGCTAGGGCCGGGGCGCCGACCCCAGCACCTCCCGGGCGCCCCTCTGGGCACGGACTCCGCCGCGCGGTGGAGCGGCCATCCAGGAGGCATCGGCTGCCTTCGGGCACTGTGAGATGCTCCCGGCTTCTCCCTCCCCCGGCGACTCCTGGGTTTGTCCGTCCAGGGAAGTGGCTGTTAGCGAGTGACTGTGCCCGCCCTGTCTGTCAGGGTTGGTTGATTTTCTCGTTTTGTTTTCCTTTCTCGTTTCAAGTTTTAGTTACCGCTTTTAAAGTTTCTTTTGCCTAGAAGTCGTTGCCGTTCCCTCCTGCCAACACGCCACCTTGCAGCGCGGAGCTTGGCTTGCACCGCCGGCGAGCAGGTGATGCTCAAGGAGAATTTAATCTGGCCCCTCTGCCGCTGCCCGGCGGACGGCGATGTCGCCGTCCCCCTCCCTTCAGGGCAGCGGTCCTGCCCTGAGTCGTATCGCTGTGGAAGCACATGCACACACACACACAAATAGCGCACCGTCGTGTCCTGAAAATAGCGGAGAAAAGATGGAAATTCCTTAGCGCACCACGTCGGCGTCTTTTGGGGGGAAACTCCGCGCAAGCACTTTATCAGCGGCTGGAGGTGCGGTTTCAAGAGGACTGAATGACTGAATGCCAATCCGAGACCGATATTTAATTAAGCCACTTAATCCCAACCCTCTCTTAAAAACGAAAACAGTTTTGTCGTGTCAAACTTTTATGTCCGTTTTACTTTGCTTTTGTGATAAATAGGAAACGTATTTATTATGGAGTGTTCGCTACTATTTCTGCTTCCCCTTAAAAAAAAAAAAAAAATCCCCACCTTTTCTACGACAAGAATCGTTTATTTTCATTTTAGCAAAGCCAGCTGCCATTGTTTTATGTATTTTAATTTTTTTTTTTTTTGAGATCAAATAAACCTGGAAATAAATTTAAAAACACAAAACCAGCCTGCAAGCGCGGTCGGGTTCAGCTTTTCTCCTCGCACGCCCGAAGCTGGGCCGGTGTCAGAACCGGGCGGATATGCCCCGGGCAGACTTGCCGCTCTGTCTCCGGGCAAAGGGGCCGTGGGGTCTGTGTCCCGCAACAAGTGCGGGGCTCGGGGCTCTGGGCTGTCTCCGCACCGTCGCCGCTCGAGTCCTATCGTTCCCTTCTCCCCGCCCTTCCTCGGTCGGGACATGAGCCGGTCGCCCCACTGAGTCTCGTCTGTCCCGCGGGGGTCAGCGTAAGCACTTGGAAAAGGGTTAGGAAAGCTGGCATGATTTGGGGGACACGCGAGCAGCGCGGTGGGTCCCGGGGGGAGCAGGATGTGGCCCCTGGGCTGGGGTTAAACCCCGGGGGGGTGGAGGTGGTGGTGGTGATTCTTTGCCCAGCCTGCCCGTGGCACCGGACCCGGGGCTAAACGGAGCCGTGGCGAGGTCCCGCTGGGTTCAGCAGGTGACACCGGGGAGATGGGGATTGTCCAGGGAGCGGAGCCCTCGAGAGCGTCGCTTTCTCCAGCAGACAGGGCACCTGCACCCAGTAACCCGGCGGCCGCCCGGCCCTGCCGCCGCCGCCGCCCCGTACCTGCCGAAACTGAGACGGCGTACGGCCCCGTAGGGTGAAAAGGTCACCCTACTGATGGGTAGGGTCAGTTTCCCTCCTAAACCCCACCAGCTTTCCCCAGGTGGGTCACCTTTGGCTTACAGTATTTATTTATGGGCTCTGGGAGCCGGTCTCACTTTACATAGGGAGCACGTGTGGGCTCCTAGCACTGGAGTGATGCGGCGGAGCACAGTATCACTGGTTTGGGGTGCTGTGCTCCAGCCACAGCGCAGCACTCCGTGACCGAAGGTCTTTATCTTCTTCTTTTTCTTTTTAACACTTCTTTGAAAGAGATACCCCGCCGCATTTCCATGTTAAGGTTCAGCTATAGCGTTTGCATAACAACCGCCTGGCAGCCCCCCTCTCTTCCACTCCGTTAACAAGCTGTAATGTATAGCTGCAGGTTGCTATAATCTCATTAATATTTTGGAAACTTGAATATTGAGTATTTCAGACTGCTCATTCCCCATATGCCGGGCCACTCCCGCTATGCTGGCTGGTTCCTTTCTCTCCATTATTAGCAATTAGCTCCTACCTTCCAAAGTCAGATCCAAGTATCCAAGATACTAGCGAAGGAATCAACTATGTGTTGCAAGCTAAGCATGCTTAATATCTCCCAAACAAACAAAGAGACAACATTTCTTTAAGTAATGAAGATGGATAAATCGCTTTATTGAGCCCACGACAGTGTTTGTTTTGTACAGACCAGCGCAAAGTTTTTTTAACAAGAGCGGGGACGCGCTCCAGCTCCTGGAAGCGGTTTCGCCCCCTTTGCTTCGTGGGGTTTTATCGTTTTAAACGGGCTTTTATTTGAAAGGGCGAGTCAGATGCGCACTATCCGAGCGTTAAATTTTGGCTGAACGCTAAATATCCTCCGGAGTGTGCGAAACCATCGCAGAGGGGGAGGTCTTTTGGGGAGTGGGGGCCCGCCTTTGTGAGAGGCGCACGGCAGCTCCGCTGCCTTCCGAGCCGCAGCCGCGGGGTCTGGTGCGGGGCTCTACCTGCCCGGTTCGGCGGCGGCGTTAGCGCGGGGGTTTCGGGCGTCGAGGCGTGGTGGTGCCAGGTTTGCCAGGGCGCATCGCTGCCTTGCAGTTCCCCGGCTGCTGTTTGCTCAACCTCTGGCCTCGGGGAGGGAGGAGGGAGGGAAGGGGAGAAAGGGTTAAACCCGGAGAGGGGAGACCAGAAAAGCGCAAGGACCACGGAGGAGGGGGTAGGGGGGAGCTGGTCGTGGGGCCAGTGTTTCTTAATTAGAGCGGGGCGGACAATGCGATGGGGCGGACAATGGGGGGGGGCTGGGGGACGGGAGGGAGGGGGGTCTGGCCTCGCTCCCGGCCGCGGTGCGCCGTGTCTGGAGTGGAGCACGCGTTGTCAGCTGGTGAGCGCAGCGGCCTTTCAGGCGGCTCCCCAGGGAACTGCGCGCCCGCGGTGAGCTCCATCGTCACCCCTCCCCTCCATCATCATCATCATCGGCCTCCTCCTCCTCCGCCGCGGCCCCCCACCCCAGCCGAGCACAACAGCCAGCATTCAAGCCCCCTTTCCTCCCTCCTCTCGCACAACAGCAGCGCAGTGGCAGCCACGCCACCTCCCAGCAACCGGCAGCACGCGAGGGCACCGCCGGGGCACCTGAAAGAGTCAAAGCCAAAGAAAGGGAAGACAAAGGAGGAGAAAGGGATACGCAGGAACGGCCCAGCGTGTCTGCTCCTACAGCGCGGAGAGAGGCAGGCGCCCACCGAGGACGGGCCAGCCCACGCGAAGCCCCGCACGCATGGGCTCGCAAACGCGTGCACACGCTCACGGGGGTCCGAGCCGCTGCAGCAGGGATGGAGACATGCAGTCACACACACCCCACACCCCCCCCCCGCTTCCTATCGCGCAAGAGTTAGGACGCCAGCAGCGTCCCGGCTCCTATCCTCCCCACAGACCCGGGCACCTCCCGGCTGTGCCCCCCCGACACAGGTGACCCCACTTCTGACACTCCCACCCGTGGGCACCGGCCTCTGTGTCCGTGAGGAGCCCTCCTTGTGTCCCGCACCTCCGTCGCATGTGCCCGGGACGTGCCTGGCCCCGGCATAGAAAAATGCTGGAAAGGGATGGGGGGCGCCTCGCTTGTGGGTGAGGAGGGGATCCCGCATCCCGGCGTGGGGAGCATCCCCTCCGCGAGCAGATCAGCCCCGCGTCGCTCAGCCTGGGGCGCAGAGCGGCCGGCGCACCCCAGGGGCAAGTTGTGCGGCCCTGGCACTGGCCAAGTACAAGAGACTTTACCCGGAGCTGGGTGTACACCGAGACCGGGGCCTGAACGGCGGTGCGCATCTGACAGCGCTCCGAGAGCGGAGGTCTGGCCCCGGAAACACATACGCTGCTTTTTTGTCACCCCCCGTTTGACTTGAGACTGACTCTCCAGAAGCCCTTTCTCCCGAGCTAGTGCCCAGCCCGGGGAGCTGGATGGTGGATGTCCCCCCTTCTGCCGTCGTTGGCCACGTCCCGGCTGCCCGGCGCGGGAGGACGCAGAGGCCCCTTCTGAAGTGCTATCGAATGGCACAGGATGCCTTTGGGAGCCCGGCCAAGGCGTGTCAAAGACGGTTTGAGCGGCAAGGCATTTAAAAGCTACAATGGGTGGCTTTCTGGCGTGTGCTCCTCTCCCTCCCCGCTTCGGACCGGGAGGAGGAAGAAGGCGATTTTAGCGAGCTACTGCAGGGATGGGTAGGATCCCCCCTGGCGCCGCAGCCCGCTGCCGCAGCTGGGAGCTTCCATGTGGGCGCCAGGCTCCCCTGCCGGTTCCCGCTGCCCTCCGAACCCCAGCTCGGTTTAACCGAGGATGCTCGAGGTGTGTGTGAGGGGTGTCGACCCGCCGCACCTTCTTCAGCACGGCGGGTACCGGGGCTGGCCATGGGACCTTGTGCCGAGATGGGGATGGGCTCTGTAGCGCTGCCAGGGAAAGCGAGATTTGGGAGAGGGAGAGCAAATCCACTCCGTTTATGAAGGGCTTTCGTATTTCTCCCAAACTTGTTTCCCTGTTCTCCCCCACCCTCCCTCCTTCGCCCTATTCTCCCCTCTCGTTATCTCCCCTCTGCTCCAATCTTCTCTTCCTTTCCCGGTCCCTTTTTGGGATACAGCCCCCCCCCCCCTTTCCTCCGCTCCCTCGCTCTGTACCGGGGCAGCAGCCCCGCAGAGGCATGCTGCTGCCGCCGCCGGGGTGCCCGGGAGAGCGGCGGGCGAACGGGACCGCTGCACTTTTATGGGGCGGTTAATCAACTGCACATCAGCGAGACAGCGCATCAGCCCATCTGCTTAATATATATTCAGGAGGGCTCCAGCCCTTTTGAAGTCTAATTTCTTCCCCGGGAGAACGCGCCGGGTAATTTACCATCGTTTCACAGGCAGGGCAGCCAGCGGGTTAACCTTTTCCCCAAGCGCTGCCGCTGCGCGTTTTCCTCCCGAGCGATCAGCTTTTAATGCCTCGTCGCCTCACCGCGAACTTGTGAAAGTGCTTCTTAAACGGTACGTGACGCGCTGAAACACGACACCCAGCCCACCGGCGCGGTGTTCGAAAGATCAGTTTGCGGCAAGCAAAAGCCCTCGATCCCACCGGCCCCGCACGTATCATGTCACCTCCATCTACCCGCTAATATTTTTATGTTTCAAGTTCTTTGGTTTTGGGTGTTTTTTTTTCGTTCCCAACCAATGCTCAGCAACGCACTTTTTTATCCAGAGGCAGAAGCAAGAGGTGTATGGGGTGGCAAGCGAGCAGCGCATCACGCATGCCCTTGCCCGGAGGTGCGGGAGGAATTCCTCTCGACGAGCTCCCCGGAGCTGCGGGACCCCGCCATCACTGGTGACAGCTGTGCTGGCTCTACCCCGCCCGGGGGGTGCCCGGTCCCTCTACCCCACCAGGGGCTGATTCGTGTGGGCGCAGCCTGCTCCCAGTCCCCGGGAACTCTCGGGGACGCATCACGAAACCGACCCATCGGAGCTCCCGGAACTCCGGGCAAAGCGTTTCACTGTGCGAGTGTCTGAACTGGCACTGCCAAGCCGGCATGCAGACGCACTGACGAAGCACTTCACTACCGCACGTCCCCCTCCCAGGTGTAAAGTCTTCTTTTTGAAACAAGCCTGTGGGCGTTTAGCAACATCACCTGCTTGCTATAAAACCCCACAGCAATGCTCAGGGACCTGTGCGGGAGCCATCGCCGTGTCCTCAGTTCCCCAAGTGCACATCCTTATCTACTGTCAATATTTTCATCCTGCCCGAGGAGGGATTCTGCTCCGCGGCGGCATCCCG